TGAGGCTAATAGCACATATTTCCCAGGGTTGTTGTGAGGATTAAATAAGATAATAATTGTAAAGCCTTTAGCATGGTGCCTAACACATAATAAGCACATAGTAAGGTATGTTAGCTATCACCATCATCATCATCATCAGAGAACATAGTCTTAATCTAAAAGGGTTAGTTAAGCCAATAAAATTAAAGTTAGGCAAAATGTTTATTACTGTATTTATAAATTTGTTCTAATGATCACTCAATTCAATTATATAATTGATATAAATTTGTTACCTGTTTATAAATAACAAGTTAGATTTGTATCACACTTTAAAGTTGTTTACAAAATACTACATAATAGTTCATCTTTTGTTACTAATGTGATTTGAATTCCCTCTAAAGTGAATTCTTAAAAAAATAAAGTGAATTCTTGAGATTTCCTAACTAGTTAATCACCATCATCAAGTAACTACTGGCAATGAAATCCCAGATCTAAAGGTTAATTTCTCAGGTAGGATTACAAACACCTAGTTAAGAATTATCTTAAAAATCCTTCAAAAGCAATAATAAGCCAAGGCCAAGCTATCACAATCCCTATTTTATAAATGTATATGCTAGGGCACAATGAGATTACCTGATTTTCTCAACATCATACAGGGAATGAGGGATTTCCTTATCCAAGTCTGGCACTAGCCACAACTTTTGACATATAATTCACACTAGGTAGGGCTTTAGTGGCAAGACAATAAAAACTCTTAAAGTAAAAAGTTTAGGGGACAGTAAGTGGTGCAGTGGATAATGCACCAGCCCTGGAGTCAGGAGGACCTGAGTTTAAATCTGGATTCAGACACATAACACTCATTAGCTGTGCAACCCTGGGTAAGTCACTTAACCCCAACTGCCTTAACCAAAAAAAATAAATGAAATAAAAAGTTTAAACTTAATTTGTAGACTTCAAACAATCTAGTCTTGAATTTGCAAAGTTTTAGTACCTTATCATTATCTCATTTGTTATGTATATGTTTAATCTGGTTGAAAGACTATTATTGTTATATGATGTATACTGTACTTGATTTCTAGGTCACCCTCAAGCTAATCCTCGTGATGTTGGTTCATAGCAGATTAAAATATCTCACTGATCATCTAGCATTTATGGTCGGAATGGAACTGCTATAATTTACAGAATCAAAGTTGGAAGGGACCTATTCATTATTCTTGGTTCAACAGTGTTTGAACTGGAATCCCTACAACTTGCACAATATACAGGCCAGAGAATAAATTAGTCATGTGTTTGTTAAGCACTTACTATGTAGGCATAGTACTAAACACTGGGGATACAGATACAAGCAAAAAGATAGTTACTGCCCTACAGGAACTTATATTCTAATGAAGGAAGACAACACATAAAAGGGAGATGAAAAGGGAGATGAAAAGAAGCGTGCCCGAGCTGAGGCATGCTGGCAAAGTTTGAAAAGTTATAAACAAAATCAGGTGAGGAATAAAGATGGCAGACCTAGGCCCCTCCCCAAAATGGAGGCCCCAGGAAGAACTCACCAATGGGAAAAGGGGACCACAAAGTCAAAAAGATGATCCAGGGTAAAAAATCAGCTGAAGCATGGTAGCAAAGTCCAGAGAATCAGAAGCAGAGCTAGGAAAAGAAGAAAGCGACTTGCCCAAGGTCACAGAAGGAATAAATGGCAAAACCAAGACTCAAACCCAGATTCTCCGGTTCCAAGTGCAATGTTCTTTTAATTATACTATGTTCTCCCAATTTGCCAATATTGGTTTTTTTATTTTGGGGGGTTTTTTGGGGGGGGGAAGGAAAAGGAAACAATGTTAGTCTATCATGGCCTATTCTTGATTAACCCATGCTGAACCTTAGTGATTACTGTTTCCCTTTCTAAGTGACAACTGATCATCCTTTTAAAAATATATTCTAGAATTTGGCTAAGATTAAATGTTAAGAGCACTGGTCTACAGTTTAAAGGATCCACTCCCTTCCCTTTATCTAAATTAGGAAAATATTTGTCTTTTGCCAGTCTTATACCATCTCTCCTACAAAATTTTTTTAATTTAAAAAAATTTTTATTTTTAGTTCTCAATTCTCCCACCCTCCTGCCTCTCCCCCATCCATTTAGAAGACAAGAAATACCCAATATCCTTTCAAAGTCATGCAAAACATATTTTCACATTTGCCATGTTGAGAAGTGAGGGAAAAAGTAAGAAAAATAAATAAAATGAAAGAAAACATGCTTCCTTCTGCACTCAAAGTTCATTAGTTCTCTCTCTGGAAGTAGATAGCATTTTTCATCATGAGTCCTTTGGAACTACTGCTACACAAATTTTTAAAGATCACTTTTAGCCCACTCCATATCTCTACTTGGACCATTACTTCCCCAATGATAGCCTGGACTCTGTCACTGGGTCCTTTGTTTCTAATAGGTCAGCCTCTGCCTTATCTTACTAGAGCCCAGGCCTCTTGATACCATTTTTGGCTTACTCCTGACCAAAGTGCTAGATAAGCACTCTTCCCTTTTCCACCTCCCCTTTACATGTCTTACCCCTGTAAAATAAAAATTCTTTGAGGTAGAGAGTGCCTTACTTATTGGCATTTGACTCCCCAGTACCTAGCACACAGCAAATGCTAAATAAACATTTTATCTATCACTGAAAGCAGCTTAGTAACCACATCCATCAATTCTTTCAATACCCTAGAACCTAGTTTGCCTAGGCATGGTGACTCGAACTCCTTGAGGGCAACCACCTCATCTTCAGAGTATTTTATTGTCACATAATTTCTGCATGTATCCTTGTAGATGGACACCCAGATTTGTATATATTCTACAATTACTGTGAATTGAATTTTTTTCTTGATGTATTTGTTGGTAATACACAGAGGCTGATAATTTTTGAGGGGTGCTTAAAGGATTAAGAAGTTAAGGGCCTTCCTCAGAGTCACCCAGTAAACAGCAGGAACTGAACCCAAGTTGTCTTGGTTCACTGCTGCTTAACAAAGAAAAAAGAAGCAAATTAAACTCACTGCAGTGCTGCCTATCTATTGTCCATTATTGAGATGCTATCCAATCAGAACAATAGCTATAACTTTTTATTTCACTATCCTCTTACCCTAACATCTCTCTAAAAAAGCCCCTAACGGCCTTTACCATTCAACACCAGCTTCCATATATCATTAGTTTTATTCCTTTTAGCATTATTCACAAAGGACTTCCCAAATCTTTTGCATTTGTTATAGCTGTCCTAACTTCCAACTCCTGCACTTTTTTACCATCAGTAGTACTATACACCACTTCCCTGAAATTTCTTCCTTACCAGAATTATTAATTTGGGGGTTATCAAAATTTTGTTCTTGAAAGCAACCTGTTACTGTTGGGCTGACTTCCTCTGTTAACTTGTTAAATTACAGGTTCCTACTTATCCTTTCTCTGAATTTCTTGAAATCTGCTTTTCTATAATCAGAAGCACAAAGATTCTCCTCCTTAACTACCATTATATCATCTAAACATCATGAACTCTAAGATGGAATTATTCTTCCTCCAAAAGTTCTCCCCATTTCTGATTCAACAACCAATTTTTTTCTAACTAGTCAGAATCAGGTCCAAAATGAATAGAGTTTCCCTCATTATTTTCTCCAGAATAAAAGTATGCAATAAGTTCCCTCTTCTCCATTTCTCTTCATCTCAAAACATCTTCACATCTTCCACTCTCTCATGTCTTCCTCCAGTGTTTGATAATAAGGTAGCACTTCCCCCAACCAAGGCATATTCTTTACATAGCCTAGATTCCAGCCTTTCTTTCCTGTCTTCACTGGCATACCATCCCTTCAACTATCCTCCCCCTCTCTCTAATCTTCAACTTTTCTCTCTCTACTGGTTCTTTCTATACTTCCTTCAAATATTCCTATGTCTCCCCCACCCAGAAAAAAATCCTTCACCTACCATCCCTCAAACCATCACCTTATATCACTCCTCCCTTTACCATCAAAATCCTAGGAAAAAATTTCCTACACTCACTACCTCCAATTCCTCTCCTCTTAATTACTTCTTAATCCTTTGCAGTCTGGGATCTAATATCATCAATCAACTGAAATTGCTTTTTCTAGGTACCAATGATGTCTTAATTCTCAAATTTAATGGACTTTTCTCAGTCTTCATCCTACCTACTCTCTCTGCTACATGTGACACTGCTGACTCATCCTCTCCTCCTAAATAGACTCTCCTCTCTGGATTTTCATGATTTTGCTCTCTCTTTGTTCTCTTTATACTTGCCTGATCCCTCCTTCTCAGTTTCCTTTGATAGCTCAGCATCAGTATCACACCTGCTAACTCTGAGTGTTCCCCAAAGCTCTATCTTGGGGCCCTCTTCTCTTGGTGTCTTCATCAGATAGCATGGGTTTAGATATTATCCCCATGCAAGTGATTCACAGAACTCCATTAAATCTCAGAAGGTAGACTAGGATTGGATATATCCAATAATTCCTCTGAGCTTCAGCAGTACCACCTGCCTATTGGGCATTTCAAACTAGATGTACCAAAGACATCTCAAATTTGATATTTAAAACTGATCCAATTATCTTTCCCCCCCAACCCAACCCTCTTCCAGGTTTTCCTATTTCTGTCAAAGGCAACACCATTCTTCCAGTAAGTTTCCCATTTTCATTCCCTTATAGACAAAGTTAATGCAAAATGCACATCCCAAAAGTAAATGAGCTTAGCAAACAAGAAAAATTATGCCCCTTAAGGATGAGACACTTCCATCACCAAAGATGCTTATGTGATATGCCATTTCTATTTATAAAAGAAGCTCAGTGTTCTAAAACCAACTTCAAACACCTATCCCATCTTCTTCGATGATTTTAACTCCTATTTCTAAACAATAAACAGAACAAGGAATATAGAAAGATAATATATATATTTTTATATGTGTAATAATACAAATGTCAGTTATACGCATGCATGGTATCAGTCATGAGGAGAAAAAATATAAATGTAATTCTATTCATACCTGTCACATTGCTGCATTATAGAAATTTCTTTGATGATTTCCTGAAGATCTGATTCAACAGGAACTTGTTTAATTGCCACCACTTGACCAGATTCCTTATGTATTGCTTTAAATACACTTCCATAAGATCTAAAAAGAAAATAAAAATTTTTTCTAGATAACATTTCCTCCTTTCTAGTAGTTATATTAATCAGAAATAAAATTTCTATCCTCTGTATGTTTGTCTTATTGGAATTTTTCAATTTTTAAAACTCAGCAAATAAACATGATTTGAAAAACAAGCAATTAAGTTCAAAAAATAAGAATTTATAAGACTATTGAAGTATGCCTTCTTGATGTCACTGCTTTATTTTAAGTTGAATTTAATAAGCAAATTAATAATGACACTTTCTCATACATTTTTATGAAGCATAGAGAAAATCTATACATAGACTTCAGTTCAAACAAATACAGTATTAACAACACTTATCCAAAGCAGTTAGTGTTAGAAGTCCCTGTTATACATGAAGGATTAAGATTTCTTTTCATTCTCTATGTCAGTTTGAAGTTATTTTCCTAAAACTACTACTTTGTTATTCATCCAATCCCATGTCTCTTCCCCTGGCCTGTTAGCATATACTCTGGTCAGATAACAGCAAGAAGTGTCCCATTCCCTCCCAATAGTGAAATCAGACATGGACCTGTATCAATATAGCAAAGGATCCATCCTCCAAGAACGTTTTATCATCAGATTGTCAGCTCATGTAGTCCCTGGGACTATATCTGCTCCCACTCCCATGCCTGGCTTATGCTCACATGAACTCAAGCCAATTACTCCCCACTTTTAAAATTTCAGCAAACTACCTAAAATCCAGCAAAAGCACAGATGTGGAAGCAGTGGCTTCATTCGTTTTGGCCTGCACTAGTATCAGGGTGATTGTTTTAAAAGTTACTTTTCTTTTTAGTCCAAACTCCATGAAATAGAGATCTGAATTAAATAAAACAACAGTAACAATAACAACAAATGAAAAATGAAGAAAAGAAAGCATAGCAGGGAAAAAGGACCAGTCTTAGACTCACAAAAACTCAGGTTCAAGTCCTGCCTCTGACCCAGACCACCTGTGTGACCATGGGTAAGTCACTTGACTTCTCAGTGCCCCAGGGAACTCTAGGAACCTAAGTTACAAATGTGTTAACAGTAGTAGAGAAAGTTTCCACATAGGAAGTTCCTTACACTAATAAAAGCACAGATTTGGGGCCCCAAAAATGAAGAAAATAATAGAAATGAAAATCAAAAGAATGAAACTTAAATTTAGTACTTAAAGACACTAGCTCAGTTCCCTAAAGTACTATATGACACACTATTTTTTAAAATATTAAAAGAACACTTTAACTGAAGCACATATCATTTTACAACTTTTCAAGTAAGTAGCACATTGATCTTTTAGAGAATTAAGTAACAAATTTTTGTGAGATTTTTTTTTAAGATTCATGATTAAAAGCTATACTTTGGCCAAATCCATTTAGATGATAACAAATGAAATAGATTTAATGGAAGACAGCTGACAAGGACAAGATTGACAATCCTAAGAATTTTAGAACAAAACATAAGACGAAATGAAAATATCCCCTTGATTCAGATTTACTAATTCTTTTTATTTCTAGATATTTCATATAAAATAAGAGAACTCTCATCCATCATACCAGTATAATTACAAAGTTGGAAAGCATAAAAAGAGGCAACTACCGCTTCACCTTCAAAAACAACTACTTTTAAATATTTTTTAAATCTTATTTCTGAAGCTCTAAAAAAAATATTTCCTGAGCTTAATTTAGATTACTAAAAAACCTCCCTACCATCCTATTCTCACATTTTCTTATTAACTGTCTGTATTTACATTATCAAGATGCTATTGGATCAAATAAAGATTCCAAAGAAGATGAAACTACCAAACCTTCTTTTCTCTCTTACATCTATTCTCTGTCCTGGGGCTGACATTCCCTCTCCTACCACTTTCATACTCATTTGATTTTTGTTTTTTAAATCACCAATTATTTCCATCCCTAATGTTTATGGCTTTCCCCCGGTTATTCTATTGCACTCCAATCACAAATAGCCTTATGTGGATTCTTTGAAATTACCAGGCAAATCAATTATTTCCTCATTTTCTATTCTGTTACAAATAACTCTAAATTCTTGATAAGAGAGTCAAGCATAAATTAGGAATAAATAAAAAGCCCATTGTAGCAGAAGTTTATATAACAAGTTCGGGTGCTATTTTTTTATATAAAGAGATTTAGCTTAAACTCTCCAAAATTAATTTTTAAAAATGTTTACTGAATTTAAGAAACACCTGTTGGACTCAATTTTATATTTTAAATACGTTTAATGCCACGCCAGGTCATCTGAAGAGGCCCTATTACAATTCCTTGTTTCAGATGGGTGCGGAGAATGACTTCTTCAATATAGCAGATAATGGTCAGGTTCTCACCCTTTCAACCAATTATTTTAACAAGATTCATTTATTCAACAAACTTTCTCATTAAGCTATGAGAAGAATTTGTACTAAATGCTGGAGAAGACTCTACTCAAATGGATCAATTATCTCATCAATCTGTATGTTTCCTTCAAGAATGCAGTTCACATTCTATCCATGACTGACCATCCTGTATGACTCTTGTCCACCTTCTCCCATAAGTTTATGATTCACCCAACATACAGAGAACCTTCCTCTCTATCTCCTAATAGCACAAAGACACCAGTACAGTAGTGAGACTGTCTGCCAGGTGAACAAACCAACTTCTTTTTTTATTATTATTATTAATTTATTTTGATTTATCAACAATCACTTCCACATGCTTTTGTTTAAAATTTTTCCCCCTTCCTCCCCACCATCTTCCCCAAGATGACACACAATCTGATATAGGCTATACATATACATTCCTATTAAACATATTTTCACATTAGTGATGTTGTAAGAATTAGAACCAATAGGAGGAACCACCAGAAAGAGGAAACAAAACTCAACTGAAGAGAAAAAAAAAAATAGCAAATAGTATGCTTCGATCTGCATTCAAATTCCATAGTTCTTTCTCCGGATATCATTTTCCATCACAAGGCCTTTGGAGATGTCTTAGATCCTTCTAGTGCCGGGAAGGGTTAAGTTTATCAATATCAGTCATCATACAACGTGGCTGTTATTGTGTATTCTTGTATTCTTATAAATTTGACATATATTTTAGAAATGAGGCCCTCATCAGAGAGAAAGGTTATAAAAATTCTTTCCCAATTTTCTACCTTCCTTCTAATCTTAGTTACATTGGCTTTGTTTCTGCAAAAACTTTTTTTAAGTGAGGCAATTGGGGTTAAGTGACTTGCCCAGGGTCACCCAGCTAGGAAGTATTATGCGTGTGAGGGCAGATTTGAACTCAGGTCCTCCTGACTCCAGGGCCGGTATTCTATCCACTTCACCACCTAGCTGCCCCCTCTGCAAAAACTTTTCAATTTAATGTAATCGAAGTTATCCATTTTACTTTTCATAATGTTCTCTATCTCCTGTTTGGTCATGAATTCTTCTGTTCTCCACAGATCTGACAGGTAAACTATTCTTTGCTCTCCCAATTTGCTTACAGTATCAGCCTTTATATTTAAATCATGAACCCATTTTGACTTTATTTTGGTATGTGGTATGAGATTCTGATCAATGCCTAGTTTCTGCCATACTCTTTTTCCAGTTTTCCCAGCAGTTTTTTTTTTCAAAGAGTGGGTTCTTATCACAGAAGCTAGGGTCTTTGGGTTTATCAAATAATAGATTACTATAGTCACTGACTACTGTATCTTGCATACTTAACCTATTCCACTGATCCACCTCCCTATTTCTTAGCCAATACCAAGCAGTTTTGATGATTGCTGCTTTATAATACAATTTAAAATCTGGAATGGCTAGGCCACCTTCCCCTGCATTTCTTTTCATTAGTTCCCTTGATATTCTGGACCTTTTGTTCTTCCAAATGAATCTTATTATTTTTTCTAACTCTATAAAATAATTTTTTGGTAGTTTGATTGGTATGGCACTGAATAAGTAAATTAGCTTAGGTAGAATTGTCATTTTTATTATATTAGCTCAGCCTACCCATCAACAACTGATGTTTTTCCAATTATTTAGATCTGACTTTATTTGTGTGAAAAGTGTTTTGTAATTGTGTTCATATATCTCTTGGGTTTGTTTTGGGAGGTAGACTCCTAAATATTTTATAATGTCTACAGTAAGTTTAAATGGAATTTCTCTTTCTATCTCTTGCTGTTGGGCTTTGTTGGTAATATATAGAAATGCCAATGATTTTGTGGGTTTATTTTATAGCCTGCAACTTTGCTAAAGTTGTTTATTATTTCAAGTAGTTTTTTACTTGATTCTCTAGGATTCTCTAAGTATATCATCATGTCATCTGCAAAGAGTGATAGCTTTGTTTCTTCTTTGCCTATTCTAATACCTTCAATTTCTTTTTCTTCTCTTATTGCTAAAGCTAACGTTTCTAATACAATACTGAAGAACAGTGGTGATGATGGACATCCTTGTTTCACCCCCGATCTTAGTGGAAATGCTTCTAGCTTGTCCCCATTATATATGATGCTTGCTGAAGGTTTTCAATAGATGCTATTTATTATTTTAAAGAAGACTCCATTTATTCCTATGCTCTCTAGAGTTTTTAATAGGAATGGGTGTTGTATTTTGTCAAAAGCTTTTTCTGCATCTATTGAGATGATCATGTGGTTTCTGTTATTTTTGTTGTTGATATGATTAATTATGCTGATAGTCTTCCTAATATTGAACCAGCCCTGCATTCCTGGTATAAATCCTACCTGGTCATAGTGTATTATTCTTGTGATAAGTTGCTGTAATCTATTTGCTAATATTTTATTAAAAATGTTTGCATCTATATTCAATTGGTCTATAATTTTCTTTCTCTGTTTTGACTCTTCCTGGTTTAGGTATCCATACCACATTTGTATCATAAAAAGAATTTGGTAAGACTCCTTCACCTATTTTCCCAAATAGTCTATATAGTATTGGAATTAATTGTTCTTTAAATGCTTGATAGAATTCGCAAGTAAATCCAGCTAGCCCTCAAGACTTTTTCCTAGGAAGCTC